GCGAATTCAGGCAATTCAATTGCGAAGTATTGGCCTGTTCCACCGATAATCGTTTCTGTCATCGAGCCTGGATAAACACCGAAAAGGAGAAAGGTGGATTGGGAAGAATATGCTTTCCGCTGTTGGCCGATAGAAGTTTTGAGATCTCTAGAGCCTTTAAGGTGTTGAACGAGGACGAAGGAGTCGCATCGAGAAGTCTGTTCATTATCGATAATAAAGGCAAAGTGAAACATTCCACCACCAATGACACTGCTATCGGAAGATCGGTAGACGAAACATTGAGAATGGTCCAGGCATTTCAACATAACGATAAATATGGCGAGTTGTGTCCTGTTGATTGGGAACCGGGAGATGAAGGCAGTTCTCAACAAAAGAAAATGTAAATTTCGGAAATGATCACTTTACTATAATTTTTGGTTTCGAGAAAATAATTTAAAATTGATTTATTCACTGAAGAAGTTACATATGGAATCATTTTCATATTATTATATAAACATATAACAAAATTTGTCATGTAAACGTATTTTGACATCTAAAATTTTTTTACGTAATACACAAATAAATCTTATTAAATGAAAGACTGCTCACATTGATATCATTTCATTCGAAACGATACGACGGGATTGTCGGGATGGTTAAAGGGTCAGCGTATTGCTCTGCAATATCGGGGATCGAATCCACGCGAGCAACTTTCCAAGAATTTTTTATGGACGATCATTAGAGTGCTGTGTCCCATCCCTCACCGCACCACCTGCATTATGGAGTTGACTGAACTCAATGGATATATTTCTTATTTACACTCTTTCCGTCCTGTATGCACTAAGAGGGCCTCTTTTAGCAAGCCCATAATGGGGCGGCCAGGTGGTGAGGGACGGGGTCCGACATATCCGGACAGACCACCCCCGAAAAATTCATGATTTTTCGATCCTTCCAGATGCGATCCCGTGTCCCCAGAGCGGTAAGCTGTCACCTTGACCGCTCGGCTATCTGGCCGCATTGGATCAAAAAATGACCTCCCAGGATTTTTAAATTTTTTGAACTCGGGAGACTGAAACGTGGAGATGTACAAAAGTATTCGGATTTTTTTCTGAATGTATAGCTAAGTGTTAGTGTATGTGGGGGCATCATTTTGTTATCCCTCTTTCAAGCTTAATAACTCCCGTACTTTTTGTCGAAAATTCTGTAGCGAAAGCAAAACGTCAGTATTGTAGACTTGGCAACAAAACTAAGCTAGTTGTATTTAATCTTTACAAATCAGTAAAGATAAAGGACAGCTTCGGTTATCTTAACTAATTACCTTTGTTTCCTTACATTTTTATTAATAACGCTTCAGCGGTCGACGATTTCTACTTAATGCTGTAGAAATACACAAACTTTGAATACGGACTCTGAGTTTTAGATTGAGTATCGAGACAAGTAAAATTGAAAAGTCTTGGTGAGTCCGAGTCTTTTCAATTTTACATATTGAGGCATACAAGAGCTTAAGATATAAGGTTCACTCCACCGTAAGACTTATTTCCAAGATGTGACATGGACAAAAAAATGAAGACTTTTGTGTTTCTTCAATTATTTTTATGCATTTTTTAAAAAAGTTATTCTATGTCAAAAAAAAATTGAAATCACTCATATATGTGCAATTAATTTATATAAACATAATTTTAAAAATGTGTTGAACACAACACTCATACTTTAATAATAATACTTATTTCATCCATATACATCATTACATCAATTCCTATTCACTCCAAACAATTCACATTATAAATTATGAAATATACTTAATTTGTATTTTATATATATGTATATTGACGTTAAATTCCAAAAACTAATTTACTTTAACTCTCCCTTGTTTTCAAAATGGGACGACAGTTTGTTTATTATATTAATTTTTGTTAAAACTTACTTCTCTTTTTGACATTTCTTTCATACTTATTGTTTATATATACTTACAGTTTAATAAAGTTTCAAATTGATATTTTCAATTGATAAAAATGGCACAGAGTCAGGTAGGACATTAACATTGGTCCCGCCATTCCTGAGAAAATGGTACATAGATCAGTTGATATCTGTTTTTGGAAGCACAACATTAGTTTTTTACCTGAAAAATAAATAAATATATCTACAAAGCTCATGAAATGAGGTAATATTTTGTATAATCACAACCTGATTATTAAATATAAATTATTATTTTTGGAAATATTTTACTTTTGAGAAATATTGTGTAACTCAAAAGAAACATTTTGTAATCCCATTGTAACTACCAGGCACAAACATTGCATGGTATGAATTTTAGTAGTACTTGGGACTTTAAATGAAATGTTTAATTCCTTTCTTCTTGACCAGAATATCAAAATGAAATTCATCAAATATACATTAATTTCATTTTGTGGATCACCAACATGGACGGCTTCATATAATTTTGTAGTTAAACAATATAATATAATGTAATCTGAATGTCACAGAAACTTAATAATGCACTTCAAAAAAATCACAAATATAAATAAATAAAAGTAGAAATGCATTTTCTGACATTCCGTAAAAGAAAGAAACTGAAATTATATTCGGTGATGGTAGGAGTTCCATTTGAAAAAATGCTAAGTTTTCAGGTAAAAGTTTATTTAATTAATTCCCATTCTTTCTAAAATAGAAGCTGCCCAATGTCGGGATAAATTAAATTTCTATATTAATTAAATTTAAAATAAGATTTCATTTACTGGTCTTCATTTTGATTGTTTTTAATAAAGTTTACGATTGTAATTGTTTTACAGTATCATTGTTCTGAATTAACAATAAATTAGTTTCGCTAAAACATTTAATAAGTTAAGATGAATAGAAAATCAAAATTTCAAACTAACATTGCCGAAGACGATTGCTCGAATAGAATCAAGTATCTTCTACCCAACCAGCAGGCTCCAGAGTTTTCGGGAATTGCCGTAATTAACGAAGAATTTAAGGAAATCAAATTATCTGATTACAGAGGAAAATATCTGGTTCTTATTTTCTATCCTTTGGACTTTTCGTGCGTTTGTTCAACAGAATTAATGGCCTTCAGCGAAAGAATACGAGAATTCAGGCAATTCAATTGCGAAGTATTGGCCTGTTCCACCGATAATCGTTTCTGTCATCGAGCCTGGATAAACACCGAAAAGGAGAAAGGTGGATTGGGAAGAATATGCTTTCCGCTGTTGGCCGATAGAAGTTTTGAGATCTCTAGAGCCTTTAAGGTGTTGAACGAGGACGAAGGAGTCGCATCGAGAAGTCTGTTCATTATCGATAATAAAGGCAAAGTGAAACATTCCACCACCAATGACACTGCTATCGGAAGATCGGTAGACGAAACATTGAGACTGGTCCAGGCATTTCAACATAACGATAAACATGGCGAGTTGTGTCCTGTTGATTGGGAACCGGGAGATGAAGGCAATTCTCAACAAAAGAAAATGTAAATTTCGGAAATGATCACTTTACTATAATTTTTGGTTTCGAGAAAATAATTTAAAATTGATTTATTCACTGAAGAAGTTACATATGGAATCATTTTCATATTATTATATAAACATATAACAAAATTTGTCATGTAAACGTATTTTGACATCTAAAATTTTTTTACGTAATACACAAATAAATCTTATTAAATGAAAGACTGCTCACATTGATATCATTTCATTCGAAACGATACGACGGGATTGTCGGGATGGTTAAAGGGTCAGCGTATTGCTCTGCAATATCGGGGATCGAATCCACGCGAGCAACTTTCCAAGAATTTTTTATGGACGATCATTAGAGTGCTGTGTCCCATTCCTCACCGCACCACCTGCATTATGGAGTTGACTGAACTCAATGGATATATTTCTTATTTACACTCTTTCCGTCCTGTATGCACTAAGAGGGCCTCTTTTAGCAAGCCCATAATGGGGCGGCCAGGTGGTGAGGGACGGGGTCCGACATATCCGGACAGACCACCCCCGAAAAATTCATGATTTTTCGATCCTTCCAGATGCGATCCCGTGTCCCCAGAGCGGTAAGCTGTCACCTTGACCGCTCGGCTATCTGGCCGCATTGGATCAAAAAATGACCTCCCAGGATTTTTAAATTTTTTGAACTCGGGAGACTGAAACGTGGAGATGTACAAAAGTATTCGGATTTTTTTCTGAATGTATAGCTAAGTGTTAGTGTACGTGGGGCATCATTTTGTTCTCCCTCTTTCAAGCTTAATAACTCCCGTACTTTTTGTCGAAAATTCTGTAGCGAAAGCAAAACGTCAGTATTGTAGATTTGGCAACAAAACTAAGCTAGTTGTATTTAATCTTTACAAATCAGTAAAGATAAAGGACAGCTTCGGTTATCTTAACTAATTACCTTTGTTTCCTTACATTTTTATTAATAACGCTTCAGCGGTCGACGATTTCTACTTAATGCTGTAGAAATACACAAACTTTGAATACGGACTCTGAGTTTTAGATTGAGTATCGAGACAAGTAAAATTGAAAAGTCTTGGTGAGTCCGAGTCTTTTCAATTTTACATATTGAGGCATACAAGAGCTTAAGATATAAGTTAACTCAGCGGTAAGACTTATTTCCAAGATGTGACATGGACAAAAAAATGAAGACTTTTGTGTTTCTTCAATTATTTTTATGCATTTTTTAAAAAAGTTATTCTATGTCAAAAAAAAATTGAAATCACTCATATATGTGCAATTAATTTATATAAACATAATTTTAAAAATGTGTTGAACACAACACTCATACTTTAATAATAATACTTATTTCATCCATATACATCATTACATCAATTCCTATTCACTCCAAACAATTCACATTATAAATTATGAAATATACTTAATTTGTATTTTATATATATGTATATAGACGTTAAATTCCAAAAACTAATTTACTTTAACTCTCCCTTGTTTTCAAAATGGGACGACAGTTTGTTTATTATATTAATTTTTGTTAAAACTTACTTCTCTTTTTGACATTTCTTTCATACTTATTGTTTATATATACTTACAGTTTAATAAAGTTTCAAATTGATATTTTCAATTGATAAAAATGGCACAGAGTCAGGTAGGACATTAACATTGGTCCCGCCATTCCTGAGAAAATGGTACATAGATCAGTTGATATCTGTTTTTGGAAGCACAACATTAGTTTTTTACCTGAAAAATAAATAAATATATCTACAAAGCTCATGAAATGAGGTAATATTTTGTATAATCACAACCTGATTATTAAATATAAATTATTATTTTTGGAAATATTTTACTTTTGAGAAATATTGTGTAACTCAAAAGAAACATTTTGTAATCCCATTGTAACTACCAGGCACAAACATTGCATGGTATGAATTTTAGTAGTACTTGGGACTTTAAATGAAATGTTTAATTCCTTTCTTCTTGACCAGAATATCAAAATGAAATTCATCAAATATACATTAATTTCATTTTGTGGATCACCAACATGGACGGCTTCATATAATTTTGTAGTTAAACAATATAATATAATGTAATCTGAATGTCACAGAAACTTAATAATGCACTTCAAAAAAATCACAAATATAAATAAATAAAAGTAGAAATGCATTTTCTGACATTCCGTAAAAGAAAGAAACTGAAATTATATTCGGTGATGGTAGGAGTTCCATTTGAAAAAATGCTAAGTTTTCAGGTAAAAGTTTATTTAATTAATTCCCATTCTTTCTAAAATAGAAGCTGCCCAATGTCGGGATAAATTGATACTCCCACCATGTTCAGCTAATAAATGGGGAGCGCGAGCTTTAATGACATCGTGAGCTGCAGCAAGTACTATATTACTGTTAATTGTGCCTCCATTAGCTCTTAATTCTTGCAAATAGTTCCGAACTTCATTTTCATAATTTCCTAACAAAGTTGGCCTACCACGTGATTTATGTGGCAAATCAGTAATATCTCCTTGAAGTGTCCTCTGAAAAATAAAGATAAATTTAAAGTATTAATAATTTACTACATTTTAGTTTTTACATATAATTAAAAGAATTAAATAAAAATACAAAAAATAAATGATATTATCTGTAATAAATATTACCTTCTCTAAATATGATGCTTTTATATATCTAACTGTAGATTCACTAACTGGTCTCCCTAATATTGTAGAAAAATGACGAACTGCACTTGCATTTCCTTTCTCAATTGCATGTTTTGCTATTTTGGCTCTAATTTCAGCACTGTATGTTCTATAGTTTCCTCGCTTTCTTCTCTTATCTGATTGTCCATTATTAACCAATAGCATTTCTACTTCATTATTAACTGATTGAATATTTGAAACATCTTGTGATATTGCAGCATTTTCAGAATCGGGTAAGACTGTTTGATTTGTTGGACAAAACCACTATAAAACAAAAGCATTTATTAGAAAACTAGTTATTTGTGTATGTACAAATTGTACAATTCCAACTTATAAATTTCTCTTTCTTTAACATAAAAATATAGTTAAACATCTTTAATCCAACATCCTGTTTATTCCAAAAGAATTTTCCAGAACATTTGTAACATCTATAGACCTTACATATTCGTTTAACTCAATAATTTGACCCTTCTCTACTCTGAATTCGATTATTATTAAATGAAATAGTAGGAAAATACATGTATTACATGATATCTCTTCTCTAATCTACAGTCACTTAAAAGAGAGAGAGAGAAAGGCCAGAGAGAGTTGCTTCCATTTTCAGTAAAAACCCATTAAGCTAATAAGCTTGTTTTACTCTGTTATCGAAGCCCTCAGGGTTGTTCCCATCAATCCATGTTGCTCTGTATCATTTTCAAATTGATTAAACAGTGTATATAAACAAATTGGAAGCATATAGTAGTGTGTGATGGTACAAAATGGAGAGCAATATCTGCAACATTCAGATCACACACAAGTTATCAAATTTTGTGAAAATGTAAAAATATATGGTAACTCAGCATGTTCAATAACTGGAACCACTCTGGTCCTATAGGTGCTAGATTAATGAACTTCTACTATAAGATAATTAATTATTTGTAAACATTTAGTTAACTATATTAATTAAAACAAATGTCAGAAATTAATTTTCACAAAAACATTCTATAATATTATATTATGATGATAAAATTAATATATATTATTGATGAGATTGTGTCTCGTCTCTAAAATTGCACTGCTGTAAACGGATGCACCTTAGAAATATGAAGGAATACATGTCAGGAGTTGCAATTTGGCCCAGAGTATTTGATCCCCAAATCATGTGCACCCAAAATAAACTAGATAAACTGTCTATAAGAGATATACAGTATAGATGACATTCTCATCATGTGGAAGACAGTACCAGACTTGTCGGCTTTCGTGCAAGCCATTAATGACAATCCATATGGCTTAACAGTAGGCATTGAGCAATCTAGCAACACTGAAGTCCACTTTCTGGATATAGGAATTAAAGTTGAAGGATCCACCATCCACATGTTGGTATACCGCAAAGTACCGCAAACCATGTGCAGCCTCTACATACAAACCTGAGTTCATGCAACCTATTTTCATACAAGACTGCAACATTTAATGCTCTGATTAAGAGGAATTTTCCCATTCATCCACCTCACAAGCCCTAGCCACCAAGTTAGCTCACATTACGAAAATAGCAACCAGTATGGGTACCCTACTTTGACACACTGTTTAATTTAGCAACATCACAGCTCACAATGCACATCCACTGTGCATGCAAGGACCAGCACTGATCCGGATGATCAAACACAGGTCCTGATCACGTTTAACCTGTATATTAAAGCGGTGTACATGGAGATCACCAACAAACATCAAATGCAGATAGCATACATGAGATGTCCGATGATCTTTGACATCCTCAGAAATGGAAAAGATTCTCCAGATCATAACAGACTTCCCGATCCCACTTAAGGACAACAGATGAAAAAAGAGAGCCTTATATACTGGTATATTGGTTCCACCGAGCGCTCCTTAAATACCAGAGCACCAAGTGGACCTTCAACATGGGTGACACACCACTGCCCTGGCCACTTATGCATCTGATCTGGACATTGAAGTGGAATTTGACAAAGCTGAGGCCATCATCACTACACCCCATCTAGAGCATCTAAAATGGCTAGAAGCCATCTTTATTTACAGAGCTAACCATGTTATGTTATGATGGAATTCCAAATACTCTTTGAGGTAGGTACTGTACTTAAGCTACACTGTAGCACTTACATATTTCAAGTTGTGATTAGTTTTGGTTATCCATAACATGCATATATATTATCCCAATTATGGATCACAGAACCAATTACACTTGGAATATGTAGGTTCTACAGCACATCCTTTAAACACCCACCTCAAAGAGCATTGGAATTCTGTCATGAAGGTAGCCAATGTGCAGATTGGCTACCTTTGCCTCCAACTCTGATATTGACATACATTTCAACTATGCACACTTCATACATAGCACCACCCACAAGGAATGACTCAGATATTTGGAATAGTTGGAGATATACAATGCCATCAAAAAAAATGCTGCTATAAACTTTTGTGATGTAGATTCCTTCCCTTTGCATGGAAGTTGATCTATGAGTAGTAATCTTACAACCCTCTCCACCTCTCTCTCTTTCATAAATCACCCCTTCCAATGCATGTATGGCAATCTCCTTTGTTTTAACAGTTGCAGTGGTCAATTAGCCTGAAGATGCCATTTAACAAGAGTAAAAACATTAGCTGTCTTAAATTTTTGTGCTGGATATTGGCTTATTTCATCTTGTTTATACTGTATTAATGACAAAGAATAACAAAAATTATTCTTATATGTAACATAAGAATTATTTTTAAATAAAATCTATAAAGTTCTATGTTAGTCTAACTTGACAGTAATTAATGGAATGAGTGATGACTAGCCAGTAGTACCATACATCCTTGGAAATAAGAAAATTAAAACATATTTGTGGATATTGGATTTTTACACAGATTTTCTTCCTATATACACCAGACAAATATTTCAGCACTTTAACAATGATGTTTGGTACTGTATACTCATTTTTCATGTAGTACATTTTTTAACCAATAGATGGTATTAATTTTGCTACAATTTTGAAAGATTTATGATGTCATCTGACTAACCAGTAAGTCTAACCTCTATTACAATGTTCAAATTTTTATTCTGTACATGCTCAGTCAAACCATTTTAAGTTGGAGCTAGTATCAGGAGTTTATTCAAAAACGGTGATTTGCCAAAGGAAAATGTTAATCAGTGATATGAAATTAAAATTTTTTATATTAATACAGATCAGATATTAATCATATGAGATAATTTTTTATTTAATAAAAGAATTAATGAAGATTTTCATAACAGTTGAAATTATGGTTGCCTTCATATAGAAGAGAAATCAAACAGTTTTGTTGAAAATATAGTTGCAATGTAAAATAAGCCTTTTCATACACAAAATAAAATAATATACATGAATTTAATTGGTGCATTTTTACTCTTAAAGTAACTTATACACTCTCTCAGAACACTGACATTAGGTACAGGAGTTGATCCAAAATGGCTTTGGGATACTACAGGAATTTTCAACAGAGTACGGCAAAGCATGAGATGGAAGCTCAGGAGATGCATTGAAGCAGGAGGAAGTCACTTTGAGCAATTTTTGTAAGCCTATGTTGTTAAATGCCTCACATATACCATTAATCCCTAATGAAGGATTTTTGGACTCATGTTCATATGAACTTTTTGTAATGTTTTGGTGTCAGGAACATCTCTACGTTTATGGACACCAATTTAGATACACCCTGTACATGCTATGCTGGGTGAAGTGATAGCCAGATGAGTGCCTTGGTGGAGGAATGTATACAGTATACAGTATTTGGTGAATGAGCATCACGGAATGTACTGTACACTGCACAGTAAGCAGTGGTTGCAGGTTTGAATCCTGTTCTGGGATGATTCTTTTCTTCCAGAATATTGTAAATTATTTAATAAATATGAATTTAATTAAAATTATTAAATTTAATAAGAGATGTTGCCTAATGCCTCCCTGTAGTGACAAATTATTTAAAAATTAATTAAATATAATTGTAGGAAAGTAGCCCAATGTAATAAAGTTGTTGTTTGGCTTGTATTTCATTGGCCAAGGCTGAAGCCATTTACATATCAAAAAATTTTTTAGGTAACTTCAAAAATAAAAAACAAATAAAAAGGATTTTCAGGCATGTGAGATAGTGTCAGCATCCTTATAATTTATGGTTTTAGCTTTTCTATTGCTTTGTGTATTTCAAGCTTTTCTAAATGTTATAATTGTTTCAGACGAAAATGATTCCTATTCAGGAGAATAATATTATATAGTGGTATATTTGGTTCCATTAAAGTGCAAAACTATTTTTACCTTTAAAAATTTATTTTTCTAAAGTAATTCATTAATAAAAATTTTATGTTCTATATAGCCTATTTTTTTTATCCATCTTCCACATACAACTTTTAACAAAATTGCCAGTATGTAAGATCCCCTAGTAAAACTATCATTTGAAATTATATGTTAATAGTATGTAAATTCATATATGACATTGTCAGTACACAATACAAAATGTACATTATGTTATTTTTGGCAAATGATATGACTTGATGTCAGTTGTTGAGAAATGACATGACATCAAGTGATATTGCTTATTCTCATCTCTTAAAAAAATTTATATTCTTTCAATTTTTGACATCAACATTTGACATCAACTAATGTCAAGTGATATGATGTGATTGACATCACTTGATATCAAGTTCAGAAGTTTTTGAAAATATCTTGAAAAACATTTTATTCGTAATTAATTAAAGATTTCTTATTTCTATAAAACTGTTTAACAGTGCATTTGATATCATTGAAATTGATCAAAAACTATTACAGAAATGTTATCAAGTGATATTTCAGACAGTTTCAAATTACATGAAATATCACCTGTAATCAAGTAATATCATGTCATGTCATGTCATTTGATTATTTGAAATCATTTCATTAGTTGATTTCAAATGCCTTGCATTTGAAACTGTCCTAAATCACTTCAGACTATCCATAACATGCATATATATTATCCCAATTATGGATCACAGAACCAATTACACTTGGAATATGTAGGTTCTACAGCACATCCTTTAAACACCCACCTCAAAGAGCATTGGAATTCTGTCATGAAGGTAGCCAATGTGCAGATTGGCTACCTTTGCCTCCAACTCTGATATTGACATACATTTCAACTATGCACACTTCATACATAGCACCACCCATAAGGAATGACTCAGATATTTGGAATAGTTGGAGATATACAATGCCATCAAAAAAAATGCTGCTATAAACTTTTGTGATGTAGATTCCTTCCCTTTGCATGGAAGTTGATCTATGAGTAGTAATCTTACAATCCTCTCCACCTCTCTCTCTTTCATAAATCACCCCTTCCAATGCATGTATGGCAATCTCCTTTGTTTTAACAGTTGCAGTGGTCAATTAGCCTGAAGATGCCATTTAACAAGAGTAAAAACATTAGCTGTCTTAAATTTTTGTGCTGGATATTGGCTTATTTCATCTTGTTTATACTGTATTAATGACAAAGAATAACAAAAATTATTCTTATATGTAACATAAGAATTATTTTTAAATAAAATCTATAAAGTTCTATGTTAGTCTAACTTGACAGTAATTAATGGAATGAGTGATGACTAGCCAGTAGTACCATACATCCTTGGAAATAAGAAAATTAAAACATATTTGTGGATATTGGATTTTTACACAGATTTTCTTCCTATATACACCAGACAAATATTTCAGCACTTTAACAATGATGTTTGGTACTGTATACTCATTTTTCATGTAGTACATTTTTTAACCAATAGATGGTATTAATTTTGCTACAATTTTGAAAGATTTTTGATGTCATCTGACTAACCAGTAAGTCTAACCTCTATTACAATGTTCAAATTTTTATTCTGTACATGCTCAGTCAAACCATTTTAAGTTGGAGCTAGTATCAGGAGTTTATTCAAAAACGGTGATTTGCCAAAGGAAAATGTTAATCAGTGATATGAAATTAAAATTTTTTATATTAATACAGATCAGATATTAATCATATGAGATAATTTTTTATTTAATAAAAGAATTAATGAAGATTTTCATAACAGTTGAAATTATGGTTGCCTTCATATAGAAGAGAAATCAAACAGTTTTGTTGAAAATATAGTTGCAATGTAAAATAAGCCTTTTCATACACAAAATAAAATAATATACATGAATTTAATTGGTGCATTTTTACTCTTAAAGTAACTTATACACTCTCTCAGAACACTGACATTAGGTACAGGAGTTGATCCAAAATGGCTTTGGGATACTACAGGAATTTTCAACAGAGTACGGCAAAGCATGAGATGGAAGCTCAGGAGATGCATTGAAGCAGGAGGAAGTCACTTTGAGCAATTTTTGTAAGCCTATGTTGTTAAATGCCTCACATATACCATTAATCCCTAATGAAGGATTTTTGGACTCATGTTCATATGAACTTTTTGTAATGTTTTGGTGTCAGGAACATCTCTACGTTTATGGACACCAATTTAGATACACCCTGTACATGCTATGCTGGGTGAAGTGATAGCCAGATGAGTGCCTTGGTGGAGGAATGTATACAGTATACAGTATTTGGTGAATGAGCATCACGGAATGTACTGTACACTGCACAGTAAGCAGTGGTTGCAGGTTTGAATCCTGTTCTGGGATGATTCTTTTCTTCCAGAATATTGTAAATTATTTAATAAATATGAATTTAATTAAAATTATTAAATTTAATAAGAGATGTTGCCTAATGCCTCCCTGTAGTGACAAATTATTTAAAAATTAATTAAATATAATTGTAGGAAAGTAGCCCAATGTAATAAAGTTGTTGTTTGGCTTGTATTTCATTGGCCAAGGCTGAAGCCATTTACATATCAAAAAATTTTTTAGGTAACTTCAAAAATAAAAAACAAATAAAAAGGATTTTCAGGCATGTGAGATAGTGTCAGCATCCTTATAATTTATGGTTTTAGCTTTTCTATTGCTTTGTGTATTTCAAGCTTTTCTAAATGTTATAATTGTTTCAGACGAAAATGATTCCTATTCAGGAGAATAATATTATATAGTGGTATATTTGGTTCCATTAAAGTGCAAAACTATTTTTACCTTTAAAAATTTATTTTTCTAAAGTAATTCATTAATAAAAATTTTATGTTCTATATAGCCTATTTTTTTTATCCATCTTCCACATACAACTTTTAACAAAATTGCCAGTATGTAAGATCCCCTAGTAAAACTATCATTTGAAATTATATGTTAATAGTATGTAAATTCATATATGACATTGTCAGTACACAATACAAAATGTACATTATGTTATTTTTGGCAAATGATATGACTTGATGTCAGTTGTTGAGAAATGACATGACATCAAGTGATATTGCTTATTCTCATCTCTTAAAAAATTTTATATTCTTTCAATTTTTGACATCAACATTTGACATCAACTAATGTCAAGTGATATGATGTGATTGACATCACTTGATATCAAGTTCAGAAGTTTTTGAAAATATCTTGAAAAACATTTTATTCGTAATTAATTAAAGATTTCTTATTTCTATAAAACTGTTTAACAGTGCATTTGATATCATTGAAATTGATCAAAAACTATTACAGAAATGTTATCAAGTGATATTTCAGACAGTTTCAAATTACATGAAATATCACCTGTAATCAAGTAATATCATGTCATGTCATGTCATTTGATTATTTGAAATCATTTCATTAGTTGATTTCAAATGCCTTGCATTTGAAACTGTCCTAAATCACTTCAGACACGATATCACCTGATATTTGAAAAAGGTAAAATGCTATTTTTATTATGGTCTACAATCTTTATCCAGAATTATCAATTTCAATTTAAATTAATTCTTAGTTTTATTAAAATATAATGATTCTAAAATAGCCTTATAATTATTTACTTGTAACAAATATAATCCAGGCTGCAACATAAAAAGAATTTAATACTAACTATATCATGTATTGTATATATTAGTAGTGTGATTGCACTACAGATCTGCTAGTATATCTAATTTGATTAAACTTTCATTTTTTGTGTTACTCACAGCCCATTTCTTAATATCTATACAGGGTTCCTTCTTTTTATGTTTACAAAATGCTATCATTTTCAGAAATAATTCATTATATTTGTTTCAAAAAAATAATACAATGTAAATATTTTATAACATAATTTATAATAAATCGTACCTCAACTTTCTCCACATCATCATTTACTTCTAATTTAATTGATAGTGGAAGATCTTCTATACAATTTATATCTCCATAATTTTCTATATTTTCAAACTTAACTCTATTAATATCATTGTTTTCTTTTGATAAAGAATGATTATTAGAATTTTGTGGACTATTTTCTTGACCTCTTCTATAAAAAAGTTAAATTTTATTAGAATAATTAATTAATAATTAAATTTTTAAAACTCATAATATTTAATAAATACATAATGATTTTTTATTATTATTGAAAAATTAGATATATTTTGATTATATAGAATAACAATAAAATGTTTATTAACAGTTATAAATCATATTATTTATAATTTTTGCATTTTATCAAAATAAATTAATATAAAGAGAATAATACAAGATGCAGTCAAAAAGTTCCAGGATTGGTGACATGGTGCTACAATCACCCATGTACTGAACTTGCATGAACTAGGATGCATAATAGACATCATTATTTAGCTTCCCACCAAATTTCATGCCATTATCTTATGTAGTTTTTGTTTCTTGCTATTTAGATTAGATCTGTGTCCTTGTCAATTTGCAATTTTCATTGTTTTGTAAAAGGTATACTTTTAAGGAATGGCATGTAAGTGTGAAATTTTATTTCAAACTTGGCAAGATGGAAACAGAAAAAAAGTGATTACAGGAAACGAAACATGAATTTATGGTTATGACCCTGAGACAAACAACAATCAACTCAGTAGAAAAATCCTGGCTCACCCAGACCAAAGAAAGCACACCAAGCGAGGTGTGAGGTTTGATCAAGAATGTGCTCATTGTTTTTTTTCGATAGCAGGATTATTCTCCTCCAAGAATTTGTTCCACAAGGTCAAACTATGAATAAAAATTTTTACATGCTTGCTTTGAGACTACTGTGTGAAAATGTCAGATGAAAAAGACCATATCTTTGGATAGCTCAGAATGGATTATTTCATCATGACAAATGCCTCCAGACACATAGTTATCTATTCAACAGTTTCTTGATAAAAATAAAATGGCTGTGATATCCCACCCTCCTTATTCACCAGACTTAGCACCATGTGACTTATTTCTATTTCTATCATTGAAAAAGGACAATGATTTTAGAACATTTTTTGCATTCAAACAGAATCACAGTGAGTGCTTAACTATGTCACAAAAAAGTTCCAGAAATGTTTTGAAAACTGGGAGAAGCTTTAGAATCTATGTTCAGCTGCAGAAGGAACTTATTTTGAAGGTGACAACTCTCAATAAATTAATATGTACATCAGACATTTTTTTATTGACCAGTCTCGGAACTTTTTGCCTGCACCTTGCATTAATTAATATGCAATCAGAAGACAATATAATTTTTTCTAGAAAAAGCTTGCCTAGTCCAACAAATACTTGGTATTGGGAGGCTCTCCATCTGGTCACTCAACACTACTTCCAATTTAATGGCCAGTATTTTTTACAAAAGCAAGATGTCCCTATGGGCTCTCTTCTCTCAGCTGTTTTAGTTGAGTTAATTATGAGAAATATAGAGTATAAAGTGTTTTACCCCATTACGACATACCCCCTTACATCATACCAGCCAACTCCTTTCAGCCTCCCAGATATATAAATGTGCTCTTATCCAAAGGGCATATTTATACTCCTCGTCACCCTCACTTAAAAATTGAGTCAAGTTGTTACAGCAGTACACAATGCTGGTTGTACAACATCCAAGTTCAAGTATGCCAATAATCTTGTCCACAGCTCTCTTTTTCCACCAATTTCTTTGAGATCTGATGACAAAAAGAAGAGTTGGGTGTTTGCTTAACTGTCCATTCCATATTTGGGGGCCATTATGCATTGTATTGTATGCACTTTCAAGAGAGATGGTATTGTACTTCCTATAAAACCACAGATTTCTCTGTGCAGATTATTATATAATGATAGATTTTTGGAGACGTCAGGGGTTTACACAAACAGGAGCAAAAATATTTTATATCAGAGCCACAACTAGAAAATTGGCTTGCTGTTTTCAAGATCATCAAAAAGATGATATCAAAAATTGTAGAATCACTACCAAACTTGCTAGAAATACTTTAGAAAATGGTTACAATGTATTATGGGCTGATATATACCCTACTTCAACAGTGCTCAGATTGTAGTGTCTTTTTCATATGGGAATTGCTTTACATAACAACACTTAGTTCCTGTAATGAATCTTCACTCAATCTTCCAGCAATATGGCGCATGTTATACAGGAATTTTTTCAATGTATTGATACATTCTATGGAATACATTTTAAATTTGCCATTTGGAACACATTAACATATATTTTAAATTGTAAGGTT